CCCACCCACACACACACAAAAAAAAAAAGAAAAAAAGAAAAAGAAAAGTTAAAAAAACAGAAAGACAAAGAAAAAAAGTCCTTCGCAAAATCCGTTAAACTTGGCATGATACAGAGAACATTAACATGGCGCTCGTGCAAGGATGATACGCATAAATCGAGAAATGGTCCAAATGAAAACTGTATATATTCTTTAAAAAGACCCCCAAAAAAACAAGGAAAAGAACCAGAAACCTGGCAGAAAATTGAAATTTCCAAAAAAAAAAAAAAAAAAACAGCTGGATCCACAAGATTTACAGTAAATCCCACACGCCAACGGGCGTAGCTCAGTTGGTACACCCATCAACTGTTGAAATACAGACCGGGGCCAATGTCCGAGTCGAGATGGAATCAGATGACAGAACAAGATAAGACTTAAAGTACACCACATGCACACCCATTCATAATATAATATTTTTTCTAATATATTAAATATAATAAATAAAACTTGTAAAAGTTAAAAATTCAATCCATGTGAAAAATTGAAAAGTAGATTCCTGAATATTCTTCCGATGACAAATACATATCGACTAATGTAAAAAACACGCAGATCCAGACCCCTCCGAAGCCTCCATACCTCTCCAGACCCCTCTAGCTAGCTTAATTAAGGGAGCTAGGCTGCTTTTGCATTTAACTTTTAACTGCCTGGGAGGACGGCCAAGTTGATAGTGTCGCGGACAATTAGCGCAAGTCCTACTGCCATAAGTAATAAAATTCCCGACGACATTATTCCCTTTTCGACCCCTTCCGGCAATTTCTTCCCCCCCCTAAGCTTCTCCAATATTAGAAAGGCCATGTACCCCCCATCCAGAGCTGGGAGAGGGAGTGTGTTGATCACAGCCAAGTTAAGGTTGATGAGGGCTGCAAATTGCAGAAGACCGCCCGCGTCCTCCCTTGCGACTTCTGCGCCGACCGCAACGATCGCGACTGGACCGGAAACCTTGTCCACAGTTTTGCTGAACTGGAAGACAATCTGACTAAGTCCATCGAGAACTAGGCCCGTCAGTCGGCCACACTCTTTCGCAGCCAAAATCGCCGAGTCGATCGGATTTTTACCAGTCCGTTTGGCGAAGATCGCGTTTCCCGCCAGCTGTATGCCTATTTTACCCGATCCGTCCGGATTACGATCCGGATAAATGTCTAGAGCAAGCAGCGTCGGCTTACCGGAATCAGATTGCCCCCTTACCCCTACAGATTGCTGGCCCCCCCTTCGCACAACCACGTGCACCGGGCTACCCCCTCTATCCTTCTTAATTGTTTGGACAAATTGTGGAACCGCTGAGGCATCAGCAGGAAGCTCCATATCGTCGCTATACATGATGATATCTCCCTTTCTGAGCCCTCCTCGCTCCGCTGCCGACTGCTCAAGAACGTCGGCGACGATGACACCCGGAAAGAAGGTCTCCTCGGTTAACCCTATTGTCGAGATTTGCGCAAACAATAGGGTGAAGGCGAAGATAACATTGGCGATCACACCAGCGCTAATGACAAGAGCGCGGTCAAGGACGGGTCGGTTCTTCAGAAGATCTGGGTCGTCGGATGAGTACTTGCTGCTGGGGTCGTCGTCAGGGAAGCCAACAAAACCCCCAAGAGGGAATGCGCGCAGAGAGTACTCGACTCTGTCATGGGTCACGCTAAAGAGCTTCGGACCGAAGCCCACCGCAAATTTTGTCACGTGGATATTCTGCCACCGTGCGGCTAGGAAATGACCACACTCGTGGACCGCTACGATGAGCGCGAGCACGGCAATCGCCTCCAAAACAGACTCGGGGCCTTCAAGATTCAGCCCAGCTATGGCAGCTCCCAGCCCAAACAGAGGAGTAATTGCACCGCTGCAGGTCCCTCGCCGTTTCCTTCTCCGCTGCCACGTTACGCGCGGCAAAAACCCGCCCTTCTCCTCTGTGTTCTCTCTTACACAATTGAACAACCGCAAGGATAATAATGATGTTAATAATGATGATGAGGAGGAGGAGGAGGAGGAGGAGGAGGAGGAGGAGGAGGAGGAGGAGGAGGAGGGAGTGCAGGAAGAGGAGGATGGTGAAGTGAGTGGACCTTTCCCCGCACCTGCACCCACTGCTGGCACAGCTGATAACGAGTTTTCTCCGCTCGACTGTCCGGGATAAGCAGAGCGGACAGACTTCCGCTCAGAACACGGGCGTATTCGGCCACAGAATGCAGACGTTCCTTTCTGACACTGACATGGCCGCTGCTGCTCCAGTCGATGGTACAACTTCCACCGCAGATGCTGCTGATGAATCCATCGCACACGTCCGCGATCTCGTACGTTCGTACTCGCGCAAGGATCACCTCTCGCTGTCGATTTAAAAATATGCACACCGGCAGCAGCAGCAGCACCCTGTGAGGCACGCCTCCATCGGCGAGGAACCGCTGCACGTTCACACTGTTTTCTAAAACAAAGCCTAGGAGACGAGGAGGGGGAGGAGGAGGAGGAGAGAGAGGAGACAGAGGAGACAGAGGGGGAAGAGGAGGAGGAAGAAGAGGTCAACAACGGCTGCAGAGACAGAGGTCGCTGAGGAAGGAAGGGATTATGCGCACCACCAACAGCGGCAGAAGTTGGAGTGATAGAATAGACATCGCGGGCAACAAGAACATCCCACGTGCTAGCACGTTTAACTAGCCGATTCATCTGTGCTAAGATGGACGAGGAGGAGGAACAACAAGAGGAAGAAGACGCCATAGCCGGACCAGATACAACAGTTGAAAAGGCAACCATTGCTCCGCGGCGTGTGCAAACTAAACGAAAATGACACTGCCACAAGTAGATCGCCAGGAGACCATACACCGGCAAAAAAAGGACCTCCTTTTCTCCCCTCCCTCCTTTCAAAATCTAACCCTTCCTCTTCCTCAAGCGGCCGCCCCCGCCCCCCACCCCCCCCGCTCCTCCCCGTTCTTCAGAAAAAAAAGGCTACGTGTGTACTTTGTAGAGTTGAAATGTAGATGACTAACAATAGCATCTTGCCATGTTCCTCGAGTAAAAAATAGAGACCATTTCCACAGACATGCACATAGGATGTTCCCTTATAAATCAGATCGTTCGCTATCCAGAAAGAGTCAGCAACGCTTTGACAAAGATCACGACCACCGAAGAAGAAGAAGAAGAAGAAGAAGAAGAAGAAGAAGAAGAAGAGGCCAAGCACTTCTCCAAAGTACAGATCGAGGCAAGCATGTCTCTACACACAATGCTGGCCTGAAATGTATACTTCATATGTTGATGGCACGACTTGTGACTTGTCCTTATATCCCCTAATTTCTTATCTCCTGACCTACCTTGAGTTTGTAGAAGACTAACAAATTAACAAGGCACCCTGCCACCCCCATCGAGGTTTAATATTAGCGTGCGCAAGAGTTGCCCGGCCACAAAATATTTTGTGATTGTGCCAAAAAAACTGTGCCAAAGCTAATCACACGGACAGCTTCAAGCTCAATCGCTCTCTTACTCTCATAGAACCAAAAAAAAAAAAAAAAAGATTGAGACGAGAGACCCTCGCACTTAGCAACAGCTCATGCTCAGGCTTGCTTCAGATTTTGCACTTGAGCTGGCAGCGCAGCGGTGGTCCCATGACACTTCATACAGAGACTTGCAGCTATCAACCGTCGGATCCGCAGAGCATAAAGGTGAAATGACGCTCAAATCGGTTCAATTCATGACCTGCAGCGAGGGAGATGAAAAGCCACATTCAACAATCAAGTTACACTAAATTAAATTAAATTAATTAAATTACATTAATTAAATTAAATTAAATCAAATTGCAAGGAAAATGAGCAATAGCAAAATGACAGAATTCCAGATTGCAAAATCACACTGAAAGCCAGATTGTCGTAAGCTGTCCGGAAAGCAGAAATGCACTGAAGTCACACCGAAGGAGAACCAAAGCAGTGAACTCAATTGTCAACGAAAGCATACTCTCACCACCACCGACAATGCAATTGAAGCTCGTTCTCCCACTGGCGTTCAGCAGCGCCCAGACTACGATCACACAGCTGCTCTGCTATCCTACAAATGACGAAGCAACCTGCTGACGTCAGCAGCAGCAACCGAGGTACATGCAGATCTCGACCATGCAGACCCCCGCCAAGACCAGGTGCGTGCTCTCACATCACTCTCAACTCGCCATCCTTCAGCTCACCCTCGACTTCTCCTCCACGCTCCTCTCTCACCAAGGACCACCGCCTAACCCTGCTGACCATCCAAGCTCAGCCCGGCTTTGGAGGGCTGAGCTATGGTGCTGCCTTCTTGCAGCGGCCTTCTCACAAGCGACCGCTCGATTCTTCTTGCACCTGTGCCAGCCAGCAGCGTGCAAACACCCGCTCCAGCAGCGCTGCCGCTCACTCGTTCAAGTGCCCGAGTTGCGATCAGGCCAGGCCGCCTTGCTATTTGCAAAGCGGCCTGGCCCTCTCGGCCAGGCACTTTGCTATTTGCAAAACGGCCTGGCCCTCTCGCAGCCTGGCCTGGCCTGGCCTCGCATGTGCCCAGTCGCCTCACGTTGGGCCGAAGTGTCTGCGCCCAGGGCCATTCAGACAGTGGCCTGAGACCAAATTGGTTAGGCGTGCCCAATCACGCAGGCGCAAATGTGCGGTGTTCCCTGCTTCCCCTGCGTTCTTGGAAGAGCCTAGAAGGCTCGCAAATATTTCCGATTCTCACGAGCAGGGCGGATGTAACCAACTGGTGCGTGGTAACTGTCTGGCGCCCACCAAGACTTGCACAATTGACGAATTCAGGCCTCATTGAGATTCTGGGGCCCGCCTTCACTTAGGGCGGGCACATGCTTGCTTATAGGGGCCGTATGCATATGTAGTAAAACAGCTAGGCCAGCAGAATGAGTAGCAAGGCATCAAGGCAGCAGGGCAAACCACTATGCAAGGAACATGAGCCAGAGCGATAGACAGAAATGCAAATTGCAAAACAACAAAGTAGCCCCAATAGTGATGTACCAAGCAGAAAGCACAAAGCACCAAGATATCATCCAAATAAGAGCAATACAATGAACTCAGATGTCAATGTCGATGCTCTCTGGCCACACCAACACCTTGAACACAGTATCCAATGTCGCTCCTACTGATTGGCGCCCGGCGCCCCATCCTACACTACTCAGTTTATCTACACCTATCTACGTTCATGCAACTGGATCACATCGACGTTGAAGACCAATATACGTGATGTCATCTCCAATGCAGACCGCCAGCATACACCAGGTAAACTCTCGCTCCTCCTCTCATCACACCTTGTCTCCCCCTCTGCATTCGTCTCCTACCCGAAGACCACCATCGTCATCACCTGCTTCCCGCACGCGCAGCCTGGCTACGGCCGCTGCGTGCCCGCTGCCACCACAGCACCCCTCTCACCTCCGTGCGCCCCCCGTGCACCCTGGCCAGCAGCGCTAGCGCAGCTGCTTGTGCGACGACGCAGCAGCGTGGCCGCATTGCCTGCATAGGCCAGACTGGCATGCCCCTGGGCTCACACTTTCCTATATGGAAAGTGTACCCTGACGCTGGTCTTCCTGGGCCTGGCGTGTAGGGGCCCAATAGCTTCACGTTGGCCCAAACTGTCTGCGCCCAGGCCCAGTTTCAGACACTGGCCTGGGCCTCGTGCAGTTAGGCACGTTCAGGTAGCCCTCCAGGCTCCAAGTGTTTCCCGCATTCTCATTGGCTCGTAGTAGATGTGTGACGACAATTCTGCATTCTCATTGGTCCACGGCCTCTGCGTGATGTGTCGGCCTCCCACTGCGTGTGCCCAGGGCGCAACCACCTGAGCCCTGGGCTCAACTGTACAATGCAGCCCTTTGCTTTTGGAAGGAGCCATAGAAGGCTCACATTGCTCTGTAACCGACTGCGTGCTGCAACTGTCTGATACCCCATATACGAAAAATGTTGAAAGTAGGCCTCTCATGGACATACAGGCCCACCTTCACTTAGGGCGGGCACGAGGCTTGCTGGGGGCCGCAGCCCATAACATTTGCATGCCCAAAAAGGGCCTCGCGAGGGGCTCATTCCTCGCAACTACCGCTTTTCACCCGAAAAGAACATTCGGTCACTAAAGCTGCTGCATTTGGGGCAACTTTTTTACTATTACTAATTTAATATCATTATTATTATTATTAAATTATTATTTATTATTACTATTGCAAGGAAAATGAGCGGTAGCGAACTTCAGAAACCAAGCAGCATTATACACATGAGACCAGATAATCGTGACCTCGAACCAAAAGCAGAACTGCATCACGAGTCCCACCAAATAAGAGCACAGCAAAAGCTCATAAGTGACAATGTCCGAATAGTCTCATCATCATCAACAAAGAACCAATGTCGACATCCTATCTGGCGCTCTGCGCCCAGACTACAAATGGCAGATCCTATCTAGCCTATCTACAATGCCGCTGGTGACGTCAACAGCTCCCCGAAGTACGAGCAGATATCGTCCAATGCCGTTCGCCTCAAGCACCAGGTATGTCTCTCGTATCTCTCACAACCTCGATCCCCCACTCACAGATGCCACGTGCACCCAAGGACCACCATGCGCCCCATCCAGCATACAGCAGCACAGCTCGGCTATGGCTGCCTGCTTATCCAGCTCGCCCGTGAGCGCGTGAGCGCTGGCCAGCGTTAGCGCAGCAGCGCTTGCGCAGTATGCAGCCAGTGCCCGAATGCCGAGTGCTGGGGCAGGCACTTTTCTAAATGGAAGTGACCTGCCTGCTGTGTGCGGCCTGCCTGCATTGGGCCTCAGTCCAGAGGCTTCCGGTAGGCCCCGTGAGGCTGATCCCCAGTCCGAACGAATCAGGCCCAGGGCCTGTGGTGGTTACTCGTGCCCAACTGCTCGCAGCCTCTGTTTCGGCCCATGTTGTGTATCTGGCCTAGGGCCTGCCTCAGTTACATACGAAAAAGGCAGCCTGGGTCTGGGCGCTCTCAACCAACTGGTGCTGCGCAACTGCCTGAATTTCCCCAGTTACGTGATGACCCCAAAAATGGGCCTGTAGGCCTTGGTCAAGCCTGCCTTCACTTAGGGTGGCCAACTGTACTGAAAATAGGGCCCAGTAGGGTGTATCCAGGCCTTGAGCCTCGCACTATTTTATATTTTATAATTTATTATATATCTATATTAGTATATTCATAAATATTTCATATCATTTGTGATTTTAATTACTATAATAATAATTTCTATTATTGTAATTATTATTTAATCATCCATCCATAGATTCCACAGGTTCATATTAATAATCTCCGTATATGTTATTGCTGTTGCTGTTGACAATGTCTTTATTGTTGTTGTTTAACTTGTGAAATTGAGAGAAGAGAATATAGCTTAAAAAAGAAAGAAAGAAAGAAAAAAAAACTTTTTTTTTTTTTTTTTTTTTTAAAAGGGCGACGGCCTTGAGATATTACCATTGAGCTGACCGGCCCCAAGCAATTCATTAATAGTTGGTTTTACAACTTTTACTCGTCAAGTTCCATCATCTGGATTCGAACACAGGTCTGTATTTCAACAGTTCATGGGTGTACCCACTGAGCTAGGCTCTTGGGTAAAACTTGTTTTTCGCATACGAACTTTTATTAAAAACTTCAGAACTCGTGATCACATTAAAAAAACAAGTGAGCGCCAATCCTGCCCCGGGCACAGCCATCATCTGGCCCGCCCACGTGACACCAAGGGGGTTTGTTGTAGAACATGAGGGATGTGCAGTATTCGGGGCAGCATCGGCCAAGCTATCAGCACGCCGTTGGCGTTGGACCTTTTCGTAAATCAGAAGTTAAAAAAAAAAAAAAAAAAAAAAAAAGTCATTATTCTGGTTGCAGCCGAATTTCAACACACGTCTGCATTTCAATAGTTTCATGTGTGTGCATCAACTGAGCCAGGAATGTTGGGGTTTGCCCCTTTTCAGCCGCCTTCCATGGCCTCGGCTCCACTACTCACAAAATGTGCAAAATGAGAATGAATCTTCTGCAAGAACATCGGAACATACACCGCAACAATGTTTGTCTTCGGTGCATACCGTGATCTTCCCCCTTTTTGACTTTTTTGATCTTCCCCCTTACACACCGCAGCAATGTTTGTCTTCGGTGCATATCGTGATCTTCCCCCTTTTTGACTTTTTTTATCTTCCCCCTTATACACCGCAGCAATGTCTGTCTTCGGTGGTGCATACCGTGATCTTCCCCCTTTTTGACTTGTTTGATCTTCCCCCTTTTTGACTTTTGTGCATGGAACGTGGAGTCCGAAACCCGACACATTTTTTTGTCTTTTGTGCATATGGTGAGAAAAGGACCGAGGTAGGCCTTGTGTTACGGTTGCATTATGAGAAATGAATCTTCTGCACGAACATGGGAAGATACACCACCATATTGTTGTCTTGTCTGCATGTGGTGACCAGTTGAGCGAGGCCCTAAGCAAATTCGCACGTAATTTTTGCCTTTTGTGTATGTGGTGAGTAGTGGAGCAATGCCCCCTAAGTGCACATACAGGGTTGCATGCATTGGGACCATCCCAGACTGTTGTGAGGAATGAATCTTCGGCGTAAACATGGCAAGATACACCGCGGAACGTTTTTGTCTTTTGTGCATGTGGTGAGTACAATGGAGAGAGGCCGTAAGCAAATACG